GATTTTGTTTGGGAATGCTGATGTGATTTAGAGACAAAATCCAATACTGATAATAACAGAATTGCTAATGTAAGAAAATGGGGATAGAGAAAGATGTTCAGTAGAAATCTTCATATCCACTTAGAAAAGTGTAGTTACCTGCACTATCTGGTGTTTTAATATACATTTAAGTTATATTCTACAGACAAATATAAAAAAAGGCTTATTGTATTTAAGATTTTATAATCACAGTTAGATGAAATGCATACTAAAAACTCAAAACCCCTAGACATTAGTAGAATAAAATAAGCTTGTGTTAGTAAGATGTTAACATTACATATATTTTATTTCTACCACTTCTAGTTATTCATGAGTGGTCTGTCTGTGATTTTATCTGGTTACCACTAGCTTAATTCAATAGGAACACATTCATAAATAATATTTTAAAGTAGTTTATTAAAAAAGCTGACAAGAACAGAACCGGTAGATCATACAGAATTAAGTAGCACTTCTCCTGATAAAAGTTATTCTTACACTGCTTTTCTAAAGCTGCATAGTGTCTTCTAGAATTAGAAAAGAGAGAATTGGTATTTTAGAATTAGAAACTCAATTTTGGGAGTCTAAGAAGTATGAAATATAGGGGGGTTTGTGGGTTTATTTGCCATAAAAAAGTAATTGTTAATTTAATGTTTCTGTACTGCTCTTCCGATATGACCCTTCTATGTTTGCAGGTAGGCAAAGGTCAACATTTGAGGAAGGAAGAAATTGCAAAGATGACGAATGCAATATATTTGCTTGACTTCCAGTACAACCTCAGTGTTAGAGAGATACAGCTGAAATAAATAACACGTGTTCTGACACCTGGAGTAACTTTTTCTGATGATTATCAGGCACTCCTTAATTTTCCATCACAACCTCCTGGTTGAGTTACCAATTTGTGTTGGCCAGTAAAGGCATATTAATATAAGATAGAACACTAAAGAAAAGATAGAGGGGCCAGGAATAAAGTAGGGAAGGAAACTGAGACGTGACGGAAGGGCACATCAGCAGGAACCCAGTGCTTACATCCTGGATTCTCAGCTGGTATTGAGCTGATTCCAGCAGGATGTGTTTAAGTCATTTGGTCTATTTCCTGAGCCAATTTCAGCATGCCTGAAGAGATCCCAGTTACGCTGTATGAAAGCATGATGAGAAAACTTGTTCTTTCCCAGCCAATTCTCTGTTAGCATTTATTGATCACTCAGGTAAACAGTGCTTAAAGAGAGGTAGCCATCTCATACCACCAGAATTAATCCATTAATTTACTTTTTGGTGGTCTCAACTATGAACATTTATTCAGGTTTCTACAGCTTTTGTCTTGTGTCCATGTCTGACTTCAGCAAAAGTTCTGAAGAACACTGTATCACTGTTCTTTTAACTGAAATGGTGCAGTTTTAATATTACAATTCAATTTGTGTTTATAAATAATCTATATACAACAGGAGTAGAGAGAGACTTTTTATAATACACACTAGAAAGGAAAGTTTTCCTTTAGGAAAAGGAGTAAAGCAATAATACACCTTGTGAAGATGAGTGGTTTAACATGCAAGAGATGTTCAGTGTTGGGGAGAACTAAACAGTTCATCAGTTTTTCATGTGTTATATTTGACAATGTTTTCTGTGTGAATTGTTCAATAAGGTATTTGTTCTCCAAATGTTGTAAAATGCAGTTTCACCTCCAAAGAGCTATAAACTAAGTATTTGTCATAGTCAAATGAGCAAAAAAGTTGTCCATTTTATCTCAAAGTTTTATTTCCTCTGTTTAGGTGACTTGACCAGCAAAACCACTGCTGTAATTGGAGCTCAGCTAGAGGTCTTGACATTTTCAGATGTTCTGGTTGTAGCTGGTTTGAATTGTAAGCTATATTTTTGCTCAATCCAAACTGCAATTTGATTTTGCTTGAGTTAGTAACATCCAGGCATATGTATGTGCAGCATGGAATCTGAACATTCACAATGGTGCATATTTCCTGGAAAAAATAAGAGATCCATCAAAAGGATACAGCAAGAAGATTATAATGCTGAGTTTTCCTGCTGTCCTGTGACAAATATTTTCAGTCCATCACTCCTTGATTCCCTGACATTCCGAGAAACAGAATTTTACTTAAGCTGCTGTAAGGCAGCACTAAGAGTTTTTGCTATGGACCCTGGATTTTTAGTCTTGGTCCACTGTGGTGTACTACAGGCTTTATTTTTCAGGTAGCTTTCCATTGGAAGATTTAGCAAGTACCGTCATTTGCGTTTCTCCTGCGTCACGTGAGCTTTCTTCATGATGTGACCTGGCAGCACTTGAAATTGATACGCTCACTTGTCGTCTCAGTATTTTCAGTACAGTTCTCTTGTATCCTTTGCATGCAAAGAAATAGATGAAAGGATCTAGGCAGCAGTTAAAATTCATCAGAAATACAGTATAATGGAGTGACTTCTGGAAAATTTTCTTTTCAGTGCACAGGGGTTCTTGCTGAAGTTTCTTAATCATGTGTTGTATGATTGCAACATGATAAGGTGTAAAGCAGATGACGAACACTATAATTACAAATATGATTGTATTGATGGCTTTTTTGTTTATCCCTGATTTTTCAGTCAGTGGATTTTCCTTAGCTGTTTGAAAAAGTTTGCAGCTGATTTGAGAGTAGCAAAATAGAATAATCCCCAGGGGAATAAGGTACCCTATTAAACAGGCAGCAAGAAGTATAAATGGTAGATGTTCTATTTTCTCAAAGTTTGGATATTCCATACATGTAGTCCTTTCATTTTCTTCCTGTGACATGGATTGTATAAGTAATGGGAAAGTTTGACTGAATACAAGAAACCAGACAAAGACACAAATGCCCTTTGCATATTTAATCCTTCTGATCTTGTATCGGAAGGGGTGGACGACAGCAAAGAACCTGTCAATACTCAGGCATGTCATGAAGTTTACGCCTGCGTAGGTGTTGATGTAGAACAAGAGTGCGGTGATTCGACACAGCGCTTCTCCAAACGGCCAGTGAAATCCCAGGGCATAGTAGGCTATCCTGGTTGGCAAGGCAATGCAGAACAGCAGATCGGAGAAGACGAGATTTGTTGAATAGAGGGTAGTAGAGTTGATCTTTTTTCTGTTTTTAAAAATGACAGTAAGAGCAATGGTGTTTCCAAGCACCCCAAGAATCAAGATGGAGCCATAGAAGACAGACAGTAATATCCGTGCTGTGTCTTTGTGCTCATATAAGTCACAGGTGGAACTGTTGGTCTCAAAGGTCGTGAAAGGGTCCATTTCTGCAACCACTGTTGTTGCAGGAGGCTCAGTAGACCTAACATGAGGAAAAAAAACAACAAAAGGGAATGTTTTGTAAGAAATGTAGATAAACTACTTCTACATAACATATCTACATGGATAGCCTCTGTTGCAAAATAAGACTAAAAAAATGAAATGAAACTTCATTGCTGTGAAATACTTTTCAAGACTATTTGAAAACAAATGCCTCCTTTCTGTTTGTTGACCCCAATTTCTTCTCTAATAAAAAAAATCAGACAGGGGGCATTGTAATAAGCCAGGGACGTAATATAATTGGAAAGTGAAGTCTGTAGATGCTCAGGAGGTGGGAGGCTGTTTAAAGAAACCTGAGGGGAAAAAGGGGTCTGAAGAAGCCACATGATAGAGCATCAAATGAAGTCCCTAAGGATCAGACAAGCAGACAAAATGTTTTAAATGAGTTTTAGTTAATTTTAAGGGAATTTTTGTTCTTAACAATTCACATTGTGATTCTTTAACTTGTTTAGAGAAACTTGTTTTTTCTCAGCATTTTTATATTGACATTATAAGAGAATCATAGATTCATTTAGGTTGGAGAAAACCTTTAAGATCATAGATTCCAACCATAATAACTTGTTTAATTCTATTTTTAAGAGCTGACTTTTGGAATCTAATTCAAATGTTGTTACGGACATAAATTCTTAAGACTACTACTTTAATCACTCTTTAGTGACCCTGCTCTAGAGAGATAGTGCAGGTGAACTATTTTACACTTTGTCAATTTAATAGACTTCAGAAATTGTTTCATCTGTACAGTCATAAGTAGCATAGAAGAGTTGCAAAGTGGCAGTGGTTTGGGGGACTTAAAAATATTTTAAAATGGTCCAGCAGAATCTCAGAAATGGAAAGAACCCCATCCTGTTGATACTGGTTGCAGTGCAAACATTTCCTAGGTTTGCTGTCACCTGACAATTGTATAGTGTAAGCATGAAACTCAGAAAGGATAAGGCATCTCATGTTACTCCTTGGGCAGCTGTTCTACAAAAAGGTGCCTCTTAGAGGCACCATGTATGAATTTAAACAGCAAGTAAAACAAGATTAACAAAGAATACTACCTGAAGATAAAAGCTGTTGCAACTGGAATTCTAAGTCTGACTTGAACCTTTAATTAACATGTCTATGTTATTTCTGAGGATCTGTTATTCAACACATAATATTTACAAGCAACTGTTGCCTGTTGTGCTTTCAAAAAGTCTTTCTGGGAAATGCCTCTCAGTTTTAAGGGATTTAAACCACACATTTTAGAAAGCATTCATTATCCTTTTATTAACTTGTGAAATCATTAAAAGGTTAGTATGTTCTTTCATGATTTGAGGAGATAAGCAATAAGATTGCTTATTTCAGGGAGTTCATAATTAATGGTTCCCTGTAAATGGTAAACCTTTAGGTAGTGGATGATGTGTATAAAAATATGTAAATTAGTTACATTACATTACTGTTCAAGGAAGAAATTTGACTTCCAGGTAGCACATTAAGTCTGTGTTTGCTGCATTCTGTAGACAGGAGGGAAGACAGATGAGTGATTTCTGACTGATAGATGTACAATGTTCTGATTCTCAGATATTTGTGAAGTAAGTACTGTCTGTCAAGAGGTGGAAATACTGCATTCAGGGCTCTATGTCAAATCTGAAGTGGGAGTTCTGTGCCTCGAATAAAGGAGCTAATCTGGTAAATAACTCCAGCTGCAGTGCAGATTTAAGAATGCCAGCAATTTTATATTAGTTACTTCTGCATTGTTGTCGCTGTCTTGGTGTTAGTGTGTTTGGTGATTGATTAATGCAGTAGTTATTACCCTGAGGATAGTGCTGGTGTGATTTCCTCACATCTTTTCCCTTACAGAAGTGTTTAGGATGGCTTTTGTTTAACTGAAGTGTAACAGGCTGCTTTTTGCATAAAATGGTGTGGGTTTGTGTAGGCACCTGTGTATCAGTCAGTGAGGTATATTGTTTTGTTTCTCATATTTAAATGCTTCTAATTCTTGTTCACACTCCCAGCATCACATCTATCTTCTATTAATCTCTTACTTGAAATTTAAGTAAAATAATTTTGTCAACATATTTAGGAAAGGATAATCTAAGATTTGTGATAAACAGTTCAATTTCAGTAACTAGCTATAGCATATTAAGTGCATAATTTTATTTTTGCTTTAAAGTTGTAATAGTTTTGGTTCAAAAACAATGCACATTCATTCATATGTCTTTCTATAAACATTTGTAAAATGTAGACTATTATACAAAAACATTGAACTATAGTTTACGAAGAAACCTATATATTCAGTAAAATATATTGGTTTTTTACATCAAGAGTAGAATTTCATAAATTGCATGTTCCCTAATTTTGTGCTATGAAGTTGGATCTTTAATATAATAAATTAATCTAGAACTTACTGTTCAAAATAGGATGTTCATCCCCACATATAACTGGTTATATTGAGAAGGAGTGCTAGCTGAGACAGTATTTATGTCTATCCATGGTGCTAGCATGGATATATATTGGGAGCAGTTCCTTGGCAAGACAAACTGGCCACAGAGGGATGAGGAGAAAGCTGGACAAGCACAGCTCATGGATCTTCCAGGGCACTGTGCAGTCAGCTAAGCTGTGCTCCTTGGCAGGCTCTTCTGCATGCTGTGGGAGTCAGCCCTAGGGGCAAAAAGTATTCTTTTTGATCCTCTGTTATCCCCAAAATATTTTGACTGTTAATATAGGGAACACATTTTACAATGCTGTAGATGAGTATTAGTGTTTTCTCTATCTGTAGGTATGTACGGGCATTTTTGAGAGTCATCAATGCGTTTAGGTGCTACAGTACCTGAATATGTTTATTAAAAACAAACAAACAAACAAAACCCCAAAACAAACAACAAAAAACCCAAAAGAAAGAGAGAGAGACATTTTAGCTTGTTTGTGGCCCAAACAGAGGATAAAGTTGATACCATCCACCATAATGTGCATCACCCAAACCGTGATAACTTATTTGTACTTCTGAACTCTAATTGTTGTTGGATGAACTCCATTCACCTCAGCAGCTATTTCACATTTCCTTGGCAATCTTGGAGAGGGCTTCATTAAAAATAATATTTTCTTCCTGAAAGGTGTCTGGATTATTAAGTAAGATAAAATATTTTTTTAAAAAACCTATTCCTTGTGTCATGTTGCTGTTTATTTCTTGGCAGCAATCCTGGATGATCCACTTATTATACATACAGCATATGACATCCTCTACAGAATGTATTTAAAAGAAGAACATTTTGATTATATTTTTGTGAGTTTTGCGTTCTTGGAGAATAAATGGAGACTGTTACATCCTTACTGCTGCCAACCTCAGACTAGCTGGACATGACTGTTTTTATGAGCTGTGTGCCTGAATAACTCACGAGACCATGGCCATTTACTGTCCCAAATCCAGATGCATCAATTAATTTACCCTCTAGAATCACTACTAAAACTTTTGGTCTTCTAGATTGTTGGATTAAAGACCCTTCCAGTGGTGTTACAGGTTTATTATTGATACTGCTTTGAAATATGTACTTTGAAGAAAGATAATAATTTTCCTTATCAATTAAATAATTTTAGAAAACAGCACCAGAGGTTTTTGGCTTAGAGTTGCCTGCCAAAATGTTATGGTATAAAGTATTGAAAATTCCTGTCTGTATATCTGAATTGTAAAGAGGGTTGTTCAGATTTTCACATTTTTTGAGTCTATAAACACTCAGTGACACAGACCACTTAGTCACTTAAAGTAATCTTCTGTTCAGATTATATTATTTTAGTGATTGTGTATAGATTCTGGTAACTTCATTTAAAGCATACTTTCTAACATGCTGTTTGTCTTGGAGAACTGAAGAGAAGGCAAATTACCAATTTGTACTCTCGTCTTTGGTCAGTCAACCTCCCTGTTAAAAAATGTGTGTGTCTCTTACTTAAATGTCTCTAAAATTAATTTGCGGTTGCTGTTTTCATTGAGTCTCTTTACATTTACACAATCTCATGGTTTGGGCAGTTCAAGGTAAGCTTCTCAAATATTTCACCACAAGGTGAAGTGATCCTGTGATGTCTGTTCTAACCCCAGCTGTGTCCCACGCAGGACTTGGGGTTCCAGATTCCTCATGTTATTAGTGTGCCTGGAGGCAAACTCACCACTACATCCTTGCTTTTTCTGCTCAGTGGATTATGTATGCAGGATGGAGTTGTGTAGCATTGCACTGGGAGTTTGTGAAGTTAACTTACTGTGATCCAGGAATATTTCTCTGATTCACTCTCTCCCAAGATATCTCCATTGTAAGGACATGCCCACTGCTCTCTGCTTTGACTTGGGAAGACCTTATGCCTGAGAGAGTTTAATTTTGCTGTTAAATACTATGCCCAGGCTTGCAACCAGTGCAGGTTGTTCTATATTGTTCTTTCCCTTGCTGTTTTTAAGACTTAGCACTATGTTTACGTTCTGACCAGCAAATTTCTTTAGTCAATTACCCTACGAGATTTGTTAGCTAGGCACCTGCTAGTCTATTCTCTGTGCTTCTTGATGTTTCACAGCAGTAGCATCAATCTGGGGAAAAAATTTGCAGCACAATGGCAAGCTGCTTGCAAAGTCTAGCATGTCTGAAATCTGTGCAGGTGCCTTTCTAAACCAATATTGTAATCTCATCAAAGAAGGAAAAATAGCTTGTCTAGGAGATTTATGTTGTGTGAAAACATTTGACTGGCATTAGTCATTTGTTTTATGTTTATACATTTGTTTTGTGTTTAATCCCCAAAGCAAAAGGTGTTTGATTAACAGGATGGTGACTCCAGTTTGGAAGTACTGTGTAATCCAAAGCTCTGCTTCATAGACATGTTAATGTATCATGGCCTTTATATGTAGTATCATAATATTACATACATTTAACTGTTAAGAAGGATACACTTAATTGCTGTGAGCCAGCAATTGCAGTGTTACACTTCAGATTACGTGGGTTCGGATTGTGTGCAAGCAGTGGTACAAAGCTATCTCTGTATGCTAAATGAAATTTCTTCTTGTTCTCATCTCCTGCTTTTGTTAGGAGCACCATCTGTCTTTTCAGCATAACAGGGGACATGTAGAAGGCTGTTACTGTGTATTGTAATCTAATGTGTGATTTCTCTGTGTCTCTTCATAATTTTCATTCTTTGAGGATTAATCCCTGGCCCATTTGTCCCTGGTCCAGTTGCTAATTTAAGGATACTAATTATATTCTTGGAAAAGCATAGCAGTTCATTAGAAAGATCTTTCCTGACTCTCTATGCATAGTATGGTTTAATCCCTGTGAGATGGACAATATTTCTTTAACAAATCATGTTGGGGGATAATATTGGTTTTTTTAAGCATAAAGAGTAGAATTTTTTTTTAAAGGAATAGTCAGGAAAGAGTCTTCCATGCAAGATTCGCTGATCTTGCAGTCCTCTATAGTTATAATCTGTGTTGGTTTTACGTTGTTTTAAAACAGTAGAAGGTGGGAAATATGCAGTGTTGCATTTTTGTAGGTTTAATTTTTTCCTCAATCTCAAAATTATTTTTTTGTATTTTTTTGTGTTTTTTGTTTGTATTTCTATTTTATCTTACAGGTGATCTTTATTGTAGAGTGTTTCCTCTGTTTGAGAAAAAGGCTTGATTCAATTAAGTTCTGTATATTAAAAAGTTTGTGTGCTAAGTTGCATAGTAGAATGCTTTGTTAAAATAGAAAGAACATATACCTAAGGTACATAATAAGGTGCGTGGACTGGCAGCTGGGGATTGCACGTAGTTTAGTAAAAGCTGAGGCAAGAGACAGGCATGTCCTAAAGCTTCCTCTTTCTTTCTAACACTTTAACACTCATATGCTTCAAGTGTTTTATGTTATTTTTTTTTTTTTTTAAAAGCTGTTGAGTTTTGTGTTCTAGAGACTGGTGATTCAGCCTAATGACCTGAAGATTGAGTCCTCAGGTCACAACCCACAGCTAAATTTGATGAGAGAATTTCCAGGCTAGTGCATTTATCCCTCTTTGGTGTAGATCCAAATTTTTTGGTATAGTAAACCCAAATTTGTAACACACAAATTTGCGTTTTTGAGATTTTTCAGAGAATCCCAAATATGTATTTCATTATTAACTTGTTTTAACAGTGGCTATAAAGAATTATAATATTATTTAGCTGCTTAACAGAATATGCAAGTGCACAAGACAGTGGGATCTTTATGGCCCTGCTTTTGTCTATTACTATAGATTTTACATGACTGTTGTATGACAGTTATATTTGGTGCTAAAAATAATAGAAAATACAGTAAATGAGGTGGAAATAAAAGCAGTTGAGTTGAAGTGCTGCATAACTAATTAAAGAAAAAGTGGAAGTAATTTGAAGGGTATATCCTGCTTTTATCTGTTGGATCTCTCTTTTACAAGGGTGATCTGTTCTACAGAATGTGTGAGCACTATCTAACATAAATAATCTTGGCCAAAACCACATACTAACATGAAGACCTGTGCTGATGTTAAGATGATTAACTTCCCTTCAGTTTATACTTGCTTAAGTATACTAAATGTAAAAAAGAGAGAGCCTAAAACTAGAGCAAATAAGCAAAATAAGTGTTAGCCACTGAAAATTACATTTTTTCTAGCAGAAGAAAATAGTGGTCATATAAGGATTTTTACTTTAGTACTAGAAAACATGCACACCTCTTTGAGTTTGGGGTTTTTTTCTGAGTTGTATGAAACCCATGCAGGTATAATACTTAATTTTAGGGTTTACAGCTTCAGATTACAGCTTCTATATTAAGTTTTTTATTCTGTATACATGCTCCTGAATCTTTTGACCAGAAAGGAATGAGATTTGAGCTATTAAAGAGTAATTTTCAAGTAAAGTTTCAATCCCCTTATCTCTTCAAGAGCAGCCATGAAAATGTTAGACGCATCTCTTGTATTCTGTGCTCAAAGGCATGTACTCTTATTTTTCTAATATAAATGATAGTTGTTAAACAGTCTGTCTTGTTTTGCCAGTATAATAGGAAAAATGTATCCTTTTAAACTGGGAGGGTGTATAAAAATCATACCACTAGTAATATTTCTTCAGGTTTGTGACACAAAGTTCAGTAATAAAGAGAAAGATGTTTGGTCATTGCTATTCAGAAGAAGAATGCCTTCTAAAAACCATGAAAGAAATTAAGTTCTAGAAGTTAAAAGAGGAAAAAGAGGAATTAGCTCATAAAGCTTTGAATTCTTGAGATGCTCTGTTGCAATGTTTAGACATGAGAAGAGCGAGCAGTTTTTAAGCTGATAGTAAAGACTGTTTTAATAGACAAGGAGATAAGAACAAGCTATGCATTCACAACTGCAGTATGGATTTGTTTTAAGGCTCTCCCTTACTATTATTCTGTGAGGTTCAGTGTCTTTAGAGCTTCAGTGCTTCCCTCTACAGTAGTTATTTCTGCATTAGTATAATTTAAATTAGTGTTGCTAAAAAATTGTCTAAGTTAAGGCAGTATGAAATGTTTCCCTGTGATTGTCAGAAAGCTGTATTATAAGAAAGGGGTTGGAATAACTTGTTGATGCTGTAGATAAACAGATCCTTTAAGTGGAAACTAACTAGCAGCATATTAATATGGCATTATAAAATATCAGAGAATTTCTTCCATGAACTTTTCCCATACAAGATCATTTATCCTTACTACCACATGAAAATATCCAGTATAATGCAAAAAAGGAAATATTTCTGGAATTGTTTGCTGTTGCTGAGTGGCAAAGGTAAAAAGTAAAAAGTTAGTTCTTTTCTGTACTTACATCTCTGTAGCTTCTTGGATCCTCTAAGCAGTTCAGGGCATTACCAGAATGGCTTAAGTGCAAAGGTTTACTCTTGCACATTGTTCTCAAGAGTGATTACGTTAGTCTTTTGTGGGAGGGGTAGGGTTTTTTCAAGCGCTTAAAAAAAACCAACCCTGTTTGTGTGCTGGTCTTGATTTGCTGCCTACTGTTTTATGGGATGTGAAAGCATCTATTTTTGATCCTTTTACAATTAGTCTGCTCAAAGAGAGTAATTAGAAACAACGCTTCCACCTCCCCCCTGAAGTTACGCATTACTGACTTTCGCAGGAGGGACTTTTACCCTGAGGTTTACTTGACTAATTGTTGACCAACTAAAATCCCTCTCATATGTGAAAAACTTTGCTTATATGCCATCTGCATTCAAAAATACCCTAATTTACAGCAAAAAGCCATGTGATTAGTACATGCTTTAAAACTTCTTACTGATGAAGGAGGAAACCTCAAAACTGAGATATACCCAGATGTGGTGTTAAAGCAGACGACTCAAACGCCTGTGGACATTCCCAGCATGGTTTTAGTATTGTAATGATGGGGATTTACAGAAATGCCTTTCAAAAATATATGAGGCAGTTAAAGAACTCTGGGGCTTTGAGAGATTAGTAAGAATATCTGCCTTTGTAAGCTTTTTATTACATTTTAAGCAGTGATAATAATAATAATTATTAGTGATACTAATAAAAATAATAATAACTATTATGAAAAATAATGAAAAATGTAAATGTATCTTATGAAAGATAAAAAGCTTCTAAAGCACAAATCTGATTCCCCTAAAATAATATTGACAATAATGAGTGGCTAAGGAGTAGGAAAGGAATGGGATATCAAATTGTGGGTTAACTCATTTGTACCTGAAATAACCTTGTTTGTGGGTGAAGAACTTTTAATGTAAGAGTTAAATTGTATGTTTGTTAAGAGGGCTTTGGAGATCAGAGATAGATGGAAAATCCTTTTGTTTGCTAGAGGCTGTGGTTGAGAGTTACCTGGGATTTTCCCCAAAAACTGATACTGATCATTCATGACTGTGGAGGACTATTTCATGACCTCATTTAGTGGCCTGATTTTAAACAACCAACAAAGCACAATAAGGCTATTTTTGGCAGATCCAACACATGCAGAGTGGAGGATGCCTCTTATGTTAGGGCTGTGTTCACAGCACAGGAGTTGGCTGACATTGTAGCGGTGAAGGTATGTCGAGATAGGATCTCTTGCACATCTGTCTCATCAGAAGACCCAAAGTAAATACAGATCTAATGGCAAAGTTACTTTGTATTATAGGAAATGTTTTTCCTATAGCAGAACAGACAGCTTTATGAGCTCCTTTTGTACCTACTTGGAACACTTGGTTGACACTGTACACTGATTTTTCTGGTATTGAACTCCCAATGTACACACATGGCTTGATTCCCCTTAGATGCCTAAGAGCTGAAGGGTTCTGTCAAGGGCTTTTAGCTCATCAGTCTTAATGGAGCACTCATCTTCTAATATCACATTCAGAAAGTGTTTAGGAGAATTTACCAGTCTTATTCTAGATTTTTTCCTTACTTGTTTTTGAATATTTTTTTAATTATTCAGCTTCATCAGAGAGTAAAATTGCTTTATATGAAGTAATGAGAATTCAGGACTGTTTAAAGGGAAATTGCATAGGGAACTTGCTTCATATGTACACAAAGTAATACCACAGTGTGGTTCCCTGTCCAACACCTAAAATATGCTATAGAAATGGGAAATTTTGAGATATGTAGACATGTCTTTGCTCAAGGGCTGACATTAGCACCCCAGCTTCTTTATTAAAGGAAATGCTTGTTTCAGAATTGTGTTACCATTATAAAACAAAGCCAATATATGTTCCCTGCTTTGATCTGATAAAACATTGCCTTCCTTTGATTAAGATACAGTACTAGATTGTACCCTTTGAGTCACACTGGTGTATTAGCTACCAATCCAGCCTAGCATGGCATGATGCTAATTGCTTGAGCTAAAAAGTATAGGTTGCATTCTTTCACTGACTGTTTATCCTTCTAGTTGTTTGTTTTCTGTTCTGATGCAGCTGCTGTTGGTCCAATATCTGTTTGACTATTCCAAGATTTGAACATGTAAATTACAAAATCGTTGCATATCAGGAGGTGTTGTGTTTACCATATATGTGCAGACACTTACTGCTTTGCTTTTGGCAGGCAAGGTGAGTAACATGGAACCCAGGTTACAAAATATATTGTTGGATAGTCTTAGCACTAAAAACTAAAGCTTACTTTAGGACAGGTGTCTGACTTCTGCCTTCACGAGGCGATTGTAAATTGTTTCTTAAATGTTTGGTCTCAAATTTTAATGAAATCCAAGTTGCAGGGATTCTGTGCAGATATCCAACTACAGGAGGAACCTTTATTTTCAGCTCCAGATGCAGATTTTTAATTTTTCTCTGCATTCTTACTGCTTTCCTGTGAACTATTGACAGCAGCTAGTGAGCATTGGGTAACAAAGCCTAATGCTTTTGCTGCTGTTGAGAGACCTCAGGCAATGGGGTGTCCTGCTCATATGTAGTGAAAGGGTTGGGTGCAGTAGCTTGGTCCTTTGAGTCCAGGGCTCCAGCAGGTGGAGGAATGCTACCATCAAGGGTGGTCACATTCCACAGAGTTTAATTTTAAGGAATGTTATTGTGAATATTTAGCACACTCAGAATAAAGGCTGGCACCTTACATGTAATATGGCAGTGTTTGGACTGACTGTAGGAACACAGGTCACTGAAATGACTTACTAACTTGAATTACAAGTGCACTGTTTGCGTGCCTGTATTATCTGCAGCTGTTTTTTAGAAGTGATATTTTTAGTCACCCAAAATATACGTGGTTGTGAATTTGTCAGTTTAATGGCTTTTTGAAGAACTTGAATGAAGAAAAACACAGCACCACAGTTAGTAAGTGTAGTGAGTCATTCTGAATAAAATAGGTTGTTTCTGCAAACTTAATACCACAGAACTTCTATTGACAACAGCATGTATTTTTGCAGAAGCTACATTTATTTAGCTTTCTAACCCTTTGTTCATGCACTTTAGAACAATTTTCCTGTTTTGTGCATATATTTGCTAGTGCTAATGTTTTATTTTAATCTGCATTTAATAGTCACCATTTTAGACTTTAAACAGTGCATTTCTCTTATAAGATACTCTTACCTGCCCCTGATTTTTTCTTCTCTGACAGTAATGTTTACATCTCTGATCTATTTTTTTCAAGGTTTTTTTTTTTTTGTGTACAAAATTAATCTCATAAATTCATATGATGTAGAATGTTCCCATCTGGTCTGTGTTTGTTTCACTGCAAATGTTGAAATTTAACATGCTCTTCAAAATGAGGATATAATTATTGTAGAGACAGCTACTACAATGCATCTTTGGGATGGACATGGTATTCATGTGGAATTTTCAAACTCTAGAATCCAGTTTTCAGGTTTTAGAGTTTTCTGGTTTGTTTGAAAATTTCATTTTCTAACCCACATGACACTAAAATTAACTTCCTAAATACGAAGTGGGCAAAAACTCTGTTCAGAGTCAGAATATGCTTGTGTCTATAGCCCTTTGCACACAGACATCACAGATTTCTAGTAGAAGTTAATCATGGCGCATGAAAGGATGTTCCTGATATTCTTATAGTATAATAAACAAAGGGCTGGGGCAAAGGTCTCTGCAAAAGGAGAGAAAGCACATGAAAGGAGACAGAAAGAGATGAGAGGGAAAGCAAAAACAAGAGGATAAGAAAGAAGTGAAAGAAAAGACTGAAGTAGTCCCTCAATATGAATTTGTTTTTCACTTGTAGATATTGAATCTGATATATGCTACCAAACAACTAATTAACATAACTAAAAGAGTTAAGAGCCAGTCTTTTTGTTTACTGTATGTGGATGGGTGTTTGTACCTGTGCAGTGAAATACAGGAACAGAAATTCCTCCAGTGCTCATGAGCTTCAGGAATAAGGCTTTGATTATTCATGGAACAATAGGGTAGCTTAGGGTTGACAGGATCTCTGGCAGTCATCTTGTTCAACCCTGGATTCAAAACATTTCCAACAAGAAGGGGTTATTTTGGGTTGGGTGTCCAGGCTGTATCTCTGAGAATGGAGATTGTAGCTCTGGGCAGCCTGGTAAAATTCTGCTCCGTTAGATTAATACCTTCCTTGAAGAATGCAGCCCAAGAGTGGACACAATGATTTAGGTTCAAGCTCAGAAGTGCTGAGCAATTACTTCTCTTGTCCTGATGATAGCACATTGATAATCCTGCCCTGTATGTGATTGACCTTTCCTGCGAGGATAAAGGGACACTCAAAGGCTAACTAACACTCCAAGGATTCTCCAGCTCCTTGTCTGCAAATCTGTTTTCTAGCTAGTCTGTGCCACTGCACAAGGTTGTTCCAAGCCAGATGAAAGACTCCACAGTTACTTCTGTTGAACTCCCTAGCATTCCTAATGTCAGCCCATTTCTCAAGTCCATAAGGAAGAGCTGAATGTGGACCTGCTCTCCAAAGTATTAACTGCTCCCTCCAATTTGATTTCACTCACTAGCTTGTTGGGGATGCACTCTGTCCTGTCATCCAGGGTATTTTATAAAGACAATAAATAGTGTTCATCCCAGTATGGATCGATCCGTGGGGGAAGCTGCTAGTAAGTGATTGCCATTAAAGTTGGTGCTGCAGATCAGAATCCTTTGAGTCTAGCAGTGCAGCCAGATTCCCTCCAATCTGCATATACAGTGCCTATCTTCCCTGTTTTTCTTTAAGTGCTGAAGAGGAAACCAAGTCTAAGGCCATCCTAAAATCAGAGTGTACAATATTTGCCATCTTCCCCTTCCATATCCACAGCACCAGAATCCCTCTTGGTAAATCCGTATGGGATATTGGCAGCTGCCTTGTCCATCCCGTAGTGGGCAATGGCTTCTAGGAGCTTTGCTCTATAACTTTCCCAAGGATAGAGGTGAGGCTTGTAGCTCCCTGGATCCTCTTCTTGCCCTCCTTGA